TTTTTAATGCGGTGCGAAGCACAGCATTTATGTAGTCCTTCGCGAGTTTTTTTTTTCTTACTTACTTGACGTACGCATCAAAAGTAGCCAATTTGTGTCGCGATGATCTCGAGAAGCGAGAGTCACAAAAAAACACTTGAAACGCGAGGTACAAGTGTTGAGATCGAACTGCTGAACTGTTTTTTCTATTCTTTGATCGAACATTCTGTTCACTCACAAATATGGTTCTAAAAAGACGAATTTGAAAGATTTTATATTCGAGATAATTAAAAAAATAAAGATACCAAGAAAAGTTAGCCGCAAGTCTCTTCGTTCAATCCAAGTGATTCTTTACAGCTGTAACTCAGCTGATAACAAAGTGATCGCGAAAATAATTAAGGGATTAATGTAAATATCTGACATCTAGAAAAAAGTTGTCTCTAAGTTCTGATGGAGGTTTCATAGTTATATATGACAATATGTCTATCAAACTTAATTAGATTACAAGAAAAAAAAAACTTTGTTTTTTCTTATAATAATTTTGTTGAAAATATTTAAATTTCGTTTTTTAGAATTTTTAATAATATGTATTCATTTCATTTTAGATTTTTACATCGTAATTTACATCAAACAAAAATAATAAAAAAATCATTTAAAGAAGATTACCTATATTATTAACTTTTGAAAGTTTCTTGCCAAGTATCGAGTGTACCTTCATCAAGTGTTAAAGAAGATTCAGCACACAAGAACTTTCCTTTTAATTCATAAATAATAAAATAATAAAAAAATATCATTTAAAAAAAGTCGCCTAGTTTTTTGACTTTCTAAAGTTTCTTGCTTATTGACGAGTTTATCTTCGCCTATTTTCAAAGAAGCTTTAACTCGAAAGAAACTTTTCTTTTAATTCAATAATAATAAAATAATAAAAATAAACTTGATTTAAAGAAAGTCGCCTAGTTTTTTGACTTTCCAAAGTTTCTTGCTTATTGACGAGTTTATCTTCGCCTAGATTTCAAGAAGATTTAACTCGAAAGAAACTTTTTCTTTGAATTATCTCACCAAGTAAACAGATATTCAAGTTTGTCACTAAGGAGATTAAGACGTATTTTGGTTATATACAATCTTATTCTCATAGAGAAACGAGCGTCGTTGTAAGCATCAACGATTTTCTTTCGTCACATTTTATTACAACTAAAATGGTTCGTAAAAAATCAACATCAGCTAAAGCAAGAACACGTAAAAGAGCTTATGAACGAAAAAAAACTGAAAATCGTGTTAATCGTTCATGGCGCAAATTACTTTTAATTGTAACAGCTGTTAATAAATTTTTACGTTTGAGACGTTGTGATATTGCAGTTGCTTGTTCAACGTCTGATTTAAACACTTCACAATCAAGTAAAATATTTTTGAATAATGTTAGCTTTGTTCAGAAAGATATAGAATTTACATATGTCAATAAAACTGATGCTATGAATCATTTAGAAGATTTGAATGTTGTTCAGGCTACTGTAAAATATCTGATTTCAAAAGTTTGTCGACTAGATTATGAACGAAAGCGACAACTGGAAATTAGAAAGAAAACAACAGTTTTAAAATCTACTAGGCAGTCATCTTGGTTTCATAAGAAATATTCACAGGATAATTTATTTCGTAAAAGAGAAAGTGAACGTGTAACTGCAATATTCCAAAAAAAATATACGAATAACAGTAATTTTCGTGAGAAAGAAAAAATTCGATCAAGAACACATGGTTTAGAAAAATATCGAAAATATGTTACATTTCGTCAAGAAAAAATACAGCGATCGAAAACTTATATTTTAAATAAATATCATAATAACATGGAATTTCGTAATACACATAAAGCTAACGTATTGGCAAAATACAATTCTAATCAAATAACACGATTGAGAATAATTTCACAGGCATTGAATTCTTATAAAAAAAACTACACGCCGATGATGCAAAAACAAAGACGACTTTATAATCAAAGTAGACGTATTTTGAATAAGTATAACATTCTTCAAAGTCATATTTGTCTAGTTAAACATAGAAATTTATACGTGAATAACTTGAACAGATTTCGACAAATTATTCGAGAAGGACCTGATTATGTTTGTATATCATGTCGATTAGCACTTTTTCGTAACCAGGTTGTGCCATTTGTTGAGAAAAAGTATATAAAAGAAAACATGTCAGGTGAAATAAAAAAACGTATTCAATCTTACTTTAATTATTCATCATCAAGCCAAAGTAAATGGATCTGTAAATTATGTTCAGATAAAATAAAGAAACGGCAAATGCCAAGTCGAACAATTGTGAATAAGTTGAAAGTGTGTGATGTTCCATCTGAACTAAAAGAATTAAATAATCTTGAAAAACATTTAATTGCTTTGAGATTGCCATTTATGAAAATTGTAAATTTAACATCAGGTAAATTATCAAATAGATTATCACAAAAAGGTACTAAAGGACCACTTCATTGTGTTCCATCAGATGTACAAGATACTGTAACAGCATTACCACGACCAGTTGATAAGTCTATGATGGTTCGATTACAATTGAAACGACGACTAAAATATAAAGCTGTGTGGGAAGAACAATTAATAAATCCAAATGATGTAAGAGATGCTCTATTTGTTTTAACTAGGATGCATCCGGGCTATAGAAACATCAATATAAATGATATTAATGAAAATTATCTTACATCTGATCAAGAAAAAGAGCAGGAAAATAACACCGAGTCAGTAATTGAACCAATGGATGTTGACACGAACGAAAAAGGACATTTACTTGAAGAAACAGAAGTATCTGATAAAAATCGTTTGAAAGCATTAGCATTAGGTGACATTGATACTAACACTAATAATGATGAAGAAATAGATGACGATGATAAAGATATTCGTACTAAATATAATATTGGTACAGATTCATGTACTCAACCATGTGATTTTAACGATTTTTTAGTGTTTGATAAAGAGCCGTGTGTAGTAGCACCAGCTGAAAAAAATAAATTAAGTTCATTATTGACAGATAAAACAATTGAAGCATTAGCCTTTCCTCATTTATTTCCAGATGGTGAAGGCTCATATGATGAAGAACGTGAAACAAATCTAAAATGGAAAGAATATTGTAAAGCACGTTTATTTTCATCTGATTCTCGGTTTGCTGCCGATTCAAGTTATATCTTTTATCTACAGTATTTAGGTGACTTGAAACAAGTATACTCCGGAATCAATATTGCTTTCCGAAAAAAACTACCAATGAGTGCTAAACAAAGCTTGGATGAAATGCAAATGAAATTTCTTATGAACAAAGATATGATATATCGTCATTTGCAATGTGTTCGAGGTAGTCCACA